AGGCAGCAGTGTGTGTACTGACAGAGCCTGTCCAAAGGCATCCTTTCAACTCCAGCGTTCTCTCCTGTAAAGTGACAAATACGAAGTCCCAAGGCCAGAAACTGTGTTCGGAGACAAGGACAGACACCCCCAGAAAGTTGTGGCATTAAAGGACCAGCTATTATGTCAGAAGCAACCCCAATCTGTGCCCCCAGAGGGACTGTGCCTCACCTGCAGCTGCCCAGTGGCCTCTTGCTGCTCTCACCACTGCTATAGCCAAGGTGTTCAGAGATCCGTCTCTATAATTTAGAAAAGGACTCTGGATCTTTTGCAGGGGAAGGACTTTCTCACCACAAAACAATTCCTGCCCTGTGGAGAATATTGATTTTCCCTAATAAATATTTATCTAATAGAGTAAGGTCTTCTCTGTGTACTGTGTTGGGGGCATGGGTTTGGGGTATCTCAGGGCTTGTGCTTAGAAAAAGGAAGGAGGAGTTAGTTTAGCTCCCAACTGCTTCCTTTAGCTGCTCAAGTGACCATCTCTTGTAGCTCTTATTGAAAAATAGGTATCATGTTCCCCCTGCCAAAGCTCACTTCATCCCTGATGAGGCTGAGGAGATGGACTCTGTTTCCTGCCTTTCAGCTTAGCCTTAATGAACATGCAGAGCAGCCCACATCTTCCCCCCTCAGGGAATACTTAATACCCTCTTGTACAGTAGAGAAGACAGGCCTTTTGTATCTGAAGATCAAGGACAAGTATATTTTTCAGAAAATATCAGTGAAGAAGACACAGTGGATTAACCATTATTTAGAAGTCAGTAAGCAGAGGATCCCACAGGTGGGTGAATCCTTAATGGGACTGTTTGGGGGAATATGGCTGCAGTAAATCATGGTGTGATTGGGGAAGGGTCTAGGAACAGCACAGATCTGGGGAAGCATACTTTAGCTTTGACTCTGAAGTATCCCCATTTAAAAAGGCATCTTGGCCGAAACCGGTTTGGCTCAGTGGATAGAGCGTCGGCCTGCGGACTGAAAGGTCCTAGGTTCGATTCTGGTCAAGGGCATGTGCCTGGGTTGCGGGCACATCCCCAGTGGGAGATGTGCAGGAGGCGGCTGATCGATGTTTCTCTCTCATCGATGTTTCTAACTCTCTATCTCTCTCCCTTCCTCTCTGTAAAAAATCAATAAAATATATTTTAAAAAATAAAATAAAATAAAATAAAAAGGCATCTTGGGAAGTGGTTCCCATCTCAGGGTATTTCTATAGGCTGTGGGATTTATGATTTTTTTTAATTTTAATTTTTTTTCTGAGCAAAAACATTACTCAACTGCCACTGGAATGAATGTTAACCAGGCAGCCACCTACCTCCTAGGGGAAAAAAATCTAAAAGATACCTTAGACCAGCAGTTCTCAACCTGTGGGTCAAGATCCCTTTGGCAGTCGAACGACCCTTTCACAGGGGTCGCCTAAGACTATCCTGCACATCAGATATTTACATTACGATTCATAACAGTAGCAACATTACAGTTATGAGGAACTGTATTTAAAGGGCCAAAAGGTTGAGAACCACTGTCTTAGACTAAGCAATAAGGTAAAAACTACTGACGGGGGGAAAGTACTTGCTGGTGGAACAGAGGTTATTTCCCATCATCCACACAGTGTGATCCTGTCTCGCTCTAATCCTCCTCAAGCTGATCTAAGCCTGACCTGCCTTAGCTGATCAGAGCACTGCATAGCCTGCTGATGCCTCACACCAAAAAGGCATGGGATATTCCTTGAGCACTAAAATAATATTTGCAGGGATGTGATTAAGCATGGCATCCCAGCTTTTGGGGAGGGTGATCTTGGTGCTTCCTTCTATCCATGCTTGATGGAAATGTGCAAGCTCTTGGCTTTAGTGTAGACATTTCATCTATAGGATGGAGATGTCATGGTTTTAATGGAGTTACAATAAATCTCCCAGAACATCTACAGCTCATGAACCAGAGATGAGTTTTAGACTATGCACCAGGATTACAGATGTTCTGGGGCTCATCCTGGACCTCCATGCAATGCTCTCTTTGGCCAAACCTGAGCACAAACTCACCCGTACTGTAGAGGTCTGCAGGGGAGCCAACCCCACTTGTTCAGACTGAAACATAAAAATGTAATGACTGTCATAAATAGCACTTGCGGTAGTTTTTTCCCAGTAAGTCTTGTAAATCCGGGTGTCAAGGAAAAACAGCAACAACTAAAGTGGCCCACCCAGTTCCCTTTGGAAACCTCTGTATGAAAAATTTAAGCTCTGTGTTTTTCCGGAAATATCTTCCTATAAGTCATTGATCATTATTGGATTAAATCTTACAGTCGTTTCTACTGGTGCCCCAGAACTACTTGGAAATCATTTATTCATTCCAAAAACAATTATCCCATTCTTACTAACATGTGAACAACTTTACACTGTCTGCTATGTTTACTGTGAACCAAAAATTGCTCTAAGAGTCTAAGAAAGAAAGAAGAGGAGGACAATGATAAAGATGAGGTGGATGAGGAAGAACACCTCATAATGCCCACCTGTGTTGGCACCAACTCCGTGGTTTTCCCTAACCCCTCTGTCATCTCCCTCCTTACACAACACTTAATTACTTCTTCATCTGTGTTTTGTGCTTTTATTCCTATTTCTTTCCTAGTTTATATCACTTCATTAGAGTTGTAGGCAGGTTTCACTTATTGCACTAAGCCCTGACTGACTGAGGGCAGAGGCAAGGCCTTATAATGTTAATATTTCTACTAGAAATACTACATTGTAGAATTCAATAAATGTTTGTTGCGTGAATGGTGGGCATCTTATAGTTATTTTAAATGCAGTTTTAATGTATTTTTCCCTGAATGTGTTCTTCTACCTTGTTGGGGAGCACAAGAGACTTGGTTGGAAAGTTTGTAAGGAGGACATTCCCAGAAAAGGGAAGTGTGCAGAAGGCCACCTGCCTTGTTTATGGGAATGCTGACTTAGGGGAGACTTAGGGGGCATGTTGAAGGCGGCATCCCTAATTATTCCTTGACCTTTCCAAACAATCCTGTGCATATACAGACCCCCAGATGTTTAGTAGAATCCTTATGCTTACTCCCTGGATGCCCTTGCCTAAGGGACAATGTAAACACGTGTCCTCCCAAGATTACTCACCCTACTGATTGTATCTAAAGATAAAAATTCCAATAAAGACTTAATGAGGTAGGCAATCAAAGTGGCCTGGCTTCTTCAGCTGGGCAAGCCCCTTAGCCTTCTCTCCCACAGTGAAACTGTATTGGAGTAATCTGTGCATTTGTCATTCAGGGGCTCCTGGTCAGCCTCGGCACAACCTTTTTGGTATCCTGAAACGTCTGTTCCCTGTGGCTCATCCTAGGGACAGTGGACAGGATGGGAGTGAGAGAGCACTGAGGACTATCTGTAGAAAACTGAGAACCTATGAGTACCCTAAACTAATGATATCTCTAACGTGTCTCCTTAAATAGCAGCACATTACTCTAGTAAAGGACATAGTGAGACCAACACCAACATCTCCAAACTTAAAGGGGGACCCAAGTAATATCTGGATTACAAATATAATTAGAAGAATATTCATGAAGGTACATAGATGCTATATTAAAAGGCAGACTGAAAAATAAGGGTAGCAGAGTAAGGCAGTGGGACCTGGAGACATAAAATGGGTGGAGGATCTTCTGGGATGTTGGATTTGGGAGGAGCTGTGTACACATCCTCTTGAAGGTGTCCCCCTTAACACTCTCAAAAACCCTCTATGACTCAATGCTCTGTGATGCAGGCCTGGCTATAAAATCAAGAGTTTGCACCCTCAGAGCTCAGGTGCCTCAGACAGCATTGCCATTCAGAAAATGACTTTCAGCCTATTTCTGAATAGCCTCCCAGAGCTTTATCTGGGCTTCTGTTCAGAATATTTATATTGTTCCTGCACCCTACCTCGCCTCTGTATGTTGGGGTTGCTCCTCCTCTCCTTCCCTTTCCTGGTGAAAATTCTATCAACCCAAACCATCTGGAAAAATGCACACACACAAAAGGTAAGGAATCCTGCACGAGCCCCCAAAGAGACTTTTTTTTATTGTTTCCATTTCTAGCTCCACATTTATAAATGAGTTAACTTGGGTCAGACACTTAAGATGGGATGTCTGAGGAGAGAACAGAACATCAATCTTCTAGGGCAGTGGTCGGCAAACACAGTCAACAGAGCCAAATATCAACAGTACAATGACTGAAATTTCTTTTGAGAGCCAAATTTTTTAAACTTAAACTATATAGGTAGGTACATTGTTATTAACTTAATTAGGGTACTCCTAAGGCTTAGGAAGAGCCACACTCAAAAGGCCAAAGAGCCGCATGTGGCTCGCAAGCCGCAGTTTGCTGACCACGGTTCTAGGGGAAGGAAAATGGCAGGGCTAGGGGTTCAGGGAGGACCCAGGCTACCATCTGAAGCTCACAGACCATCTGGATATGGGGGAGAATTTCTGAATAGAACCCCAAACAGTGCCTTCATGGCCATGGATTGGGTTATTTTAAGTTTGGGATCTCTGCTGGAGATCAGAGTTCCATCGTACTTCCTCCTGAGTCATATTTCCATGTCAGGCATAACTGGAACAACCCTTCCCTGGGCTGATCAGGAAAGCAGTGCTGAGCATCTGAGAGCCTCTGAGCAGAGGCAGGAGCCAAAGCTCTGCCCTAGGTCACAGGGTCCTATCTGAGGGAGCAGAGATGAGACAGTTGGCCCCAGATTATATGCCCTCCTTAAGCACAGGACTTATGAATGAGGACCAACCATGAACCTCATGGACATAAACATCCTTTGAGTTTTTAAAGAAGATAAAACTGAAAACATTTTAAATAAATAAATTTTGACAAAAAGAAGAAACACAAAGTTCAATTAATTAGTTATATTATTCTTGGATAATTAATGTCTGAGTTTCTAGGAAGAGGAGTGACAGAAATGGGTCCCAACCTCCCATTCTTTACTTTCATTCTCAGTGTCATCAGGGCAGCGCCAAGAGGAGGAGGAAAGGTGGGACACAGAAAGGTAAGGTTCTGCCACTCCACATGAGCTCCCCAAGGCTGACCCTTTCTCTCCTTTCCCTGAGGAACCAGTTTCATGATTTCTATGATGTCAGTTGCTCAACACAGTTCCTCTCAGTATAAAGGCCTCAGAGGAGAAGATTTTCTGTCAGAACCTGAGCCACTTCTCAGATTCCCTGCTTTGCTGTCCCTGAATATGAAGTAATGATGGACCTGGGCAATGGGTATTGTCCAGTAGGTGTCCAAAGTGGAACTTCTGTCTCCTGACTTTGTGAAAGTATTTTAACTTCAGAATTATCAGATTCCTCTTTAACATAACCACTGACTTCTCTGTTTTGCAGAGTGGTTTGAGCGTAGATAATATAATGTACTAGAGGCCCAGTGCACAAAATTCGTGCACTTGGTGGTCCCTCAGGCCAGCCTGCACCCTCTCGCAGTCCAGAAGGCCTCAGGGGATGTCCGAATAACTGCAGTCAGACATTCTTAGCACTGCCACAGATGGGGGAGAGGGTCCCACCACCACCTCTGCACTTGCCAGCCATGAACCCAGCTTCTGGCTGAGCAGCGCTCCCCCTGTGGGAACACATTGACCACCAGTGGGCAACTCCTGTGTTGAACGTCTGCCACCTGGTGGTCAGTGCACATCATAGCAACTGGTTGTTGCACTGTTTGGTCGATTTGCATATTAGCCTTTCATTATATAGGATGTGTAAGCACTTTATAAAAGTTGCAACACACATGAGAGTGTTATTAATATAATCATTGACCATTTGACTTCATCTATTAACTCATAGGGCTTTCAGGGTCTAATATACCAATGGTTTCCCATAAAGGGACTCCTCTATAATTACTGGGATTCTACACCTTCACCACATGTAACACACTCTCATGGTTTCCCAGATAGAAGAGACTCCCAGAGGGAAGAAGAGGATAAAAAGATGCTGATTTCTCTCCTTAAAAGGTGAAAAACCTTTCCCTCTCTTCCCTGATCCCAATTTAGCATGTTCTATGCAATCCCAGGGCTTCAGTTCAGCCTTCTATAGTCATGGATTGGGGTTGCCATAGAAATTAGTACATGAAGGAGACTTTGGGGTGAGTGCTATTGAGTGCATTGTGAAGTCATGAATGTGGGGCAATGTGAAGAGACAGCAGGATTCAGGTGACCCCAACCACACCAGGTCAGTAGGTCCTCCTTTCCTTGTTCTGGTTGGTCTTGGCTGCAGCTTTGTACCTCCTGTCTCCTGCAGCCCCCTGGGCCAGCGTCATGATTCCATCCTCTTTCGTCAACTGTTATGTCCAGATCCCTACTGTGAGGTGTGTAATGATGTAACTGCTGAGATGGATCAGCTGCTGTCTTCATTGGTCCTGGAAGATGCTATTCTCTCTGTGTCCCCTTTGGCTTCTGCAGCTCCTGTGACTGAGCCATCATTCACTCAGTCCCCTGCCTTCTCAGCAGTCCCTCTAGGAGGCCTAATACCACTTCACCTGCCTGAGCCTTTCCAACCACCCCCCTCCAATCTCTCCCCTAACACAGTGACCCCCTTAAGTCATTTTCCATTACCATCATCACAGATTCACTCTATTCCAGCAGACAATTTATCTCTCTTGACATCTGAATTTCCAGTCCATACCATACACCATGTCCCACCACATGGTACTAAGACTATGGATGCTGCTGTTCAATCAGACGCCTCTCTGACCCTGAATACCATCTTCGTTGACTCCTCCATTACCCAAGATATCAACCCCTTCCCAGATTTGGCCCAGAAAGGTAATTCCACAGAATCTGTTACTTTTCATCATGTACAACCAACCTTGTCTGTTTCACCACCACCACCACACTACAGTTTAACTTTGACTCACCCTAAACCCATTCACATCTCATCCAAGCCTGCTCTGGAGAACTCATCTCCAGATAGCACTGGAGCATTGGCCACTTATGTCCCTCAAGGCACTGACCATCCAAGTCTGTCGATTTCAGACTTTTCCTCTCAGAAAGCTCGTGTCAGAGACTTGTTGCCATCCCCCTTGACACACAATTTCTATCAAGTTCAGGATGTGGGGTATGACTCTGAGAAAGACCTAAATACCTACATAATGAGTCTATCAGGAGCAAATTCCATGATGTCAGGGCAGAATGTAATGCAGGGAGAACAAGAAAATGCCCGGAAGATACATTTGAGGAAGAAGTCAAAGGAAATCAGTGAGGGTCAGCTTTCTGTGACTATGCATAGTCCATGGCATGCTATCCAACAGACACTTTCTGTGAAATCCCATGTGGAAATAAAACGGAGAAGTTTGGCACCACCAGTGGGTAGGGAATACTGCCTGAACACATGCCGGGAGCTTTACTTCCTTGAGTCCGGTTCCCGGCAGATTCTGGAAGCCCACATTACCAAGTTTCATTTGAGGATGATGGTGTGTGGCCTTCCTGCCAAAGTTCTTGAATCTATTAAAATCTTTAAATTGAAAGATTCTTCCTCCCATCTCCTGTATGATTCCAAATCCTTCTCGACCAACCTGATTTCTGAAGTGGTCTCCAAACCAGGAGGCTTCATGTCCCTTCAAGGAAGCTCTAAAACCCTGAATCATTGTAGCTCTGCTACCTCACTTGTGGGCAAGGAAGGACAGGGGATCCTGAGACAAGCACCCTCTGAAATCTCCCATGGGCTGTCAGACCATGTTCAGAGAATTCTGGATGCTCGACCTACTCCTCTGCCTATGACAAACATCATTGGCAAAGCAAGTCAAGAACATTCTCCAAGAGCCAACATTCTCTCCTTAAAGCTGCCCATAAGACAATCCTGGGCTGAACATGAGCTAAAGGATCAGAGTGCAAATTCCAGTAACATCAAAGAGATGAAGAAATCAGAACCTGTCTCCATGCTCAATGTGTCTAGGGCTGAGGAGCTCAATGCCCTTCAATACAAAATGAGTGACATCTTGACAACCAGCAAGCTGGAAGTCGCCCAAAGGATAAATGTGAGTGAGAGTAAAGGAGTAATGATTGTGAAAACTGAAAACCTCCCAGCAAAAACATCAGTTCGCCAAGATCCTAACTCAGCAGATGCTAAGAACCAACTAATTGCCGAGTTAAAGAAGTTAGGGAAGATGAAGCATAGTCAGGCCCAAGGCCAGCCCACTCCTGTGTCCCATGCCTCAGACAGCTTGACTTACAAAGCCTCCCTGATTCATGCTCAGGGTGCCTCCAGTGTGGACAGGGCAGCTCCCCAGTTGCTGCATGTCCATTTGGTGAACAGAGGAGTCAGTATGGAGCAGCCACAGGAACTGTGGGTCCCTAAGAAGATCTCAAGGTTGTGCCAGGATAAGAATTTCCCACCAGCTACAAAGAAAGTGAGGCCCACAGGGTCCAAACCAGAGGAGCTTGCTAGAGGGAATGTTGGGTTGGGCACATCCCAACCTGGAAGGAAGAGATTTCCTACTTTGAACCTGCCATTAAAGGAGAGGCTTGGGGCCAAGTATCCGAAGACCCCATCACAGAAGGTACAACCTCCTCCAGAAAGCCTGTTCAGAAAACAAATGAACCAGTTTTTTCAATGGCTTTATTTTTGGAAAAAATGCAAACAGCAAAAATACTCTCAGGAAAAGGGCAACAATGTATCATCTACACAGAGTCAAGGCCCAGTTGAAAGTAGAGCAGACACTGGGAATTTTCTAGAGGAGAAACTGGGGCACCGGCATGCAGTACATATCACCTGCCCTCAAGAGCCCCTTCCCTCTGCAATGAAGTTTGCAAAAGCTCTGCAGATTGCAGCAGTGTGGGCCTGGGCAGAGCCTGTCCAGGGGCATCCTTTTCACTCCAGGGCTAGCTCCTGTAAAGTGACAAATACCAAGACCTTCCACCAAGCTGCCTTCAGTGACAAGGACAGACACCCCCAGAAATTTGTGGCATTTAAGGACCAGCTATTAGATCAGAAGCAACTCCAATCTGTGTCCTGCAGCGAGAGTGTGCCCCATCCAAGCCCCACCTGCAGGCCTCCAGCTGCCCAGTGGGCTCCTGCTGCTCTCACCACTGCTATAACCACAGTGTTCAGAGATCCGTTTCTACTATTAAGACAGAAAAGGATTCTGGATATTTTCCAGGGAAAAGACTTTCCCACCACAAAATAATTCCTGCCCTGTGAAGAATATTAATTTGCCCTAATAAATTTTCCCTAATAATAGTAAAGTCTTCTCTATGTACTGTGTTGGGGGCATGAGTGTCTCGGGGCTTTTGCTCAGGGAATGGAAAGTGTTAGTGGGTGTGGACAGAGTCGGCGAAGAAGGAATAACACGGAGGCAGGGTTCAGTTGACCAGCATGGTTGGGTTCTCTAGCCTGGTTCTATCCAGGATCTCCAGCCAGGTTCTGTCATTTATTGTCTTGTTACATCTGTATTTATACCAGTTGACTTTAATCCTGTCAATTTCTGTTCCAAAGGTTAGGGCTTTTCTTATCTCCATTCCAGGGAGTAAAGATTATATAGCTTAAGGGTGAGTGTTCGTAGTTAAAGTGATTAACTACCGCCTGGCACTTAGTTAAGGGGTTTTATTCCCTCCCTAACTTCAGGGAAAAATCCCTACCTGGGTAAACAACCTTTCTCAGAGAGGTGACCTTGGTTAAAACACATAGCGCCAAGAAGGTGAGCAAACATATTAAGAACAGTATGCCATATATGCCAGGTCCCTTGAAACATACGCTATGCAGATGTTTCTTCCCTGCAGCGACTGTGTCAAGCAGCAAGGATGGACCAGCTTCCAGCACTTGCCGATCCCTTCCTTTAGCTTCTAAAGTGAACAGCCCATAGAGCTCTACGGAAAAATAGATATCATGTTACCCTTGCCAAAGCCCACTTCATCCTGATGAAGTTTGCGGAGATGGGCTCTGTCTCCTGCCTTTTAGGTTAGTCTTAAGTAATATGCAGAGCAGCCCACACCTTCTTCATCAGGAAATACTTAAAAATATTTTCAAATTATACAGACTACAGGCCACCTTTATCCCAAGAAGATAAAAGGCAGGTATATTTTTCAGAAATTATGAATAATAATGAGACAGTGGCTTAATCATTATTTAGAACTAGAGGCCCAGTGCACGAAATCCGTGCACGGGAGCCTTTCTAATCCGGGACCCTATGGGGGATGTCTGACTGCCGGTTTAGGCCCGATCCCTAGGACATCCCTCTCAAAATCCTGGACCACTGGCTCCTAATCACTCACCTGCCTGCCTGCCTGGTCGCCCCTAACTTCCCCCCTCTGCCAGCCTGATTGCCCCTAATTGCCCCCCCACACCAGCCTGGTCACCCCCAACTTCCCCCCTGCCAGCCTAGTCACCCCTCACTGCCGCCCCCTTGCAAGCCTAATTGCCCCCAACTGCCCCCCCTACTAGCCTGGTCACCCTGCTGTTTAGTCATTTGGTCACCCCTAACTGGCCACCCCTGCCAGCCTGGTCACCTCTTACTGCCCCCCTCTGCTGGCCTGGTCACCCATAACTGCCCCCCCCTGCTGGCCTGGTCACCCCACGCAGCCTGCTATTTAGTCATTTGGTCATCCCTAACTGGCCACCCCCGCCAGCTGGTCACCCCCAACTGCCCCCCGCCCCCTGCCACCGGCCTGGTTGCCCCTCATGGACCCCTCGCCGACCTGGTCGCCCCAAGCAGCCTGCTTGTTCAGTCATTTGGTTGTCCCTCACTAATCCCCTGTCGGCCTGATCATAGGCAGCCATCTTGTGAGGGTGTGAGGGTTAATTTGCTATTACCTCTTTATTATATAGGACAAGTGAGTGAATCCTGAATGGGAGTGTTTAGGGGATATGGCTGCAGTAGATCTTTGGCTGGTTGGGGAAGAGTCTAGGAAAGCACAGATATGCTTAAAGATCTGTCTCATGGGGCATGTTGATGTTTTGGGGAGGCATATTTTATTTTATTTTTTTAAAATATATTTTTATTGGCCAAAACCGGTTTGGCTCAGTGGATAGAGCGTCGGCCTGTGGACTGAGAGGTCCCAGGTTCGATTCCGGTCAAGGGCATGTACCTGGGTTGCGGGCATATCCCCAGTAGGAGATGTGCAGGAGGCAGCTGATCGATGTTTCTCTCTCATCGATGTTTCTAGCTCTCTATCTCTCTCCCTTCCTCTCTGTAAAAAAATCAATAAAATATATTTAAAATATATATATATATATATTTTTATTGATTTCAGAGAGGAAGAGGGAGAGAGAGATAGAAACATCCATGATGAGAGAGAATCATGGATCAGCTGCCTCCTGCAAATCCCCCACTGGGGATTGAGCCCATAACCTGGGCATATGTCCTTGACCGGAATTGAACCTGGGACCTTTCACTTCGCAGGCCAATGTTCTATCCACTGAGCCAAACTGGCTAGGGCAGGAGGAAGCATATTTTAATCTTGACACTGAAGTATCCCTACTGGAAAGTAACCTTCGGGAAGTTGTTCCATCTCTGGATATTTTTTCAGGTTGACATTTTTTTTTTTTCCTGAGCAAAAACTTCACTCAACTATAGTGATGACTGGTAACCAGGTAGCCACCTTCCTCCCAGAGTAAAACAAAGCTGAAAGTAAGGAAAAGATGCCGCTTAGACTAAGTGAGAAAAAAGAACCAATGAAGAAGGGAAAGAGTGACCTTGCTGATGGAATACAGATTATGCCCATCATCCCCACAGTGTGATCCTGCCTTGCTCCCAAACTAATCTAAGCTCCACCTGCCATGGTTGATCAGGGTACTGCACAGCCTACAGATGCCTCACAGCAAAAAGACCTGGGCTATTCCTTGAGCACTAAAACAATATTAGGCATGGCATCCCTGTCTTTGGAGATGGTGAAATGTGTGCCTTCCTTTCATGCTTGATGGGAATATGCACGAATTTGCTCTTAGCAAGTACATTTCACCTATCAGGATGGAGATGTCACCTTTGATATTCAGGGGTTTGGGGAAGTTACAATAAATCTCCCACAGAACACCTGCAGCTCATGTACTAGAGGTGAGTTCTAAACTATGCACCAGGGTTACAGATGTTTGGGGGCTCACCTTGGACTTCCATGGAATGCTCTCTTTGGCCAAATCCTACATATATACCCACCTGTACTATAAGGGTCCTCTGGGGAGTCAACCCCACTTGTTCAGACTAAAACACAAAAATGGAATGACTGCCCTAGACAGCACTTGAGGTAGTTTTCCTAGTAAGAACTGTGAATCCTGAGTGTCAAAGACAAATAGCAACAACAACAACAACAAAAACAACACACAGATGTCCACCACAATCCTCTCTCACTACCACACTTGTATCTTTTGTCCACAGTTATGCCATCAACCCTACAATGTCTGAATCTTGGGGTCACAACAATAATTCAGATTTTGTGAAAGTTCTGGGAGGGATAAAAAGGTAAAATGGAGCCCAAGGCAAGGAACCTGAAGGGGTGAGCAGGCAGTAAAAGCTCTAACATTCATGAGAAGTAACTCTGATGTAGTTACTTCTACACTATAGCGCACATTACCAGGAATACCTCTGCCATCTGGAATAATACATTCTTATCTTCAATCCTTCCAACTTAAATGCCCCTTTATAATTTTTCAACTCTGGGTCATTTATTTTCCCACTAACTCCCAGTCAATTCACAAAGCTCTTGTTTCCCTCCCTTACCAAGTTAGGCTTGATGGTCTATCAGGTAACCAACTCTTAAACACTCCACTACAAATGGGTCCCTTTCAGTCCACTTTAGTCCTTCCCATCTGGAAAAATTTCAACTCTGTTTTTCCAGAAATTTCTTCCTATAAGTAAATGACCATTATTGGATTAAATCACACAATTGATTCTACCAGTGCCCCAGAATTACCTGGAAATCATTAATTCATTCCCCAAACAATTATCTCTTGTCTACTAACATGTGAACAAAACAAATGGAGCTTAGGTCCCTGTTTCCTTAGTCTGTTCTCTCTCCAAAGCTATTCAAATCTATTTCAAATTGCTTTCACTTTTCTCAAACGGAGTCCATCTCCACTGGCTCAACTGGTGTGCTGGACCACTATTCACAGAGGAGCTAGAAGACATGGGATGGGAACTTTTCAAAAAAACACTTTAAAAATATCACTTTTCACATTCTTCCTTTCATTTTTCCTTCCTATTACATGGAAAGAGGATTCCTTCCCAGCCTCAAAGGAATGACACTTTCTGAAGTCACCTTGAGAGACAGTTAAATTCCTATCTTCATGGGCTGTTGCACCCTCCCTCTCTCTATGAAGCAGCTAACATCTTTTCTTTTTTCAAGCTTAACAAAGAAATGTTTAAACATACACAACAGGAGATACAACAATATATCTTCCCATGTGCTCTCAAAAATTATCATTTGGTATGTGTAATAGATGCCATTTTTACAATACAGCACAGTGAAAAAGCCCATCAGAACATGTAACCATCCATCTCTCAGACTTATGTACCCATGTCAAAGCTTTCACATTTCTTTTGACATTTATCACGTGTGGAACACACTTATGCACCACAGATGTAAACAGCCTTGGTGAGGAAAGAACACTGAGTTTGAAAGGCTTTGGGAATCAGTTCTGCTCTGCCTTTTAATCAACCCTGAGGAGTCATTTGAGTGAGTTCTCTCAGCTCCATGCAAATAATCTTAAAGAGCAAATCCCATGCACAATATTACTGCTCCTAATCACGCAGTGATGACACTAACATGCTAACTATAGAGAAGCATAAAACTACAGAAATGGCATCTCTATCTGTGTTTTCAAATATTTAGAAAAAATTTTCCTGTCAGACATTAAAATGACTTAAAACACAGTAGATATGATACCCTTGCTTATCTTTTTTCTTCCCCAAATGCCACTAAAAGTAAAAGATTCAATGAAAAGATGCTCGACTTCATTAACCTTTAGGGAAAGGCTAATTAAAAACACTAAGAGCCCTGTCTCAGAGACTCAATTGGTTGGAGCATCTTCCCACACATCAAAAAGTTTGTGGGTTTGATTCCTGGTCAGAGCACAGGGTGTTTCTGAATATCACATGCAATAATATGTATGAAATCTCTTTGTGATCATGCAACAAACGTATATGAACTTTATTATTATTATTATCATTAAGTATGTGATCTTTTATTTCAATTCTAG